CATGATAATATCGTTGTTGCTTCTTTTATTCGAATATTCAATTTATCACTTTTGTTTAATTTGGATAACATTAGTACATTCTATTGTTCAATATTGTCACGGGTAAAATGGACCGTGAACAAAAGATCGTGATCCGTACCCCTGTACCCAATCGATGCACGCATTCGTGATCATCGTCTCCAACAACCCTACAATCGCAAATAACCAAATCGAGCATGGGTCAAATGCACAACTATGAGGTTTCAAAGTGGTACCTGTACGTAATAGAAATTGATGGTAAAAATCTAGTGAATATAGTAAAACCGTTAGTAAGATATTAGATATGCGAATGTATAAAAGAGACAAGTCAATGTAATCTTCTTCTTATCTTTCGTGGTGCCCAGGAAGGGCTAAAGATCATAATAAAGAAACAGTAAAGTATTTAGTAAAAGATACTCGCCAAATCGTAACGCCTCTAGTAGAGAGTGTCACTCCAATTTTACCTCACAATTTCATGAAGTGCTAAATCACTCCGTTCCTGGTATAGGTCAATTTGCATAAAGTATTTTATAAGACATAAATCAAGTAATTTTAACTTCTCACCATGCATCATGAATTAAATAATTTTCAATATCATTTATATAATAAATTCATTGGGAAAAATTCTTTATAAAAAAATACTTTTTAGGTAAAAACTAAATATAACTTAAGTTTGCTATATACCATCAACACCAGGGACGCGAATTTAATGATGTTTGCTGAGCCTAAAAAAAAAGTTGTCTCATAAAAAAAAATTTTTTACGATTTTTTAAATACTCGCTCGACAGTTTTGTTTTTGTTTAGTTTTAGTTGATCACACGAAAATCTTAAAATTTCCTCATTTTTTAAAAAAATTGTCACACAAAAATCACAATTCCAAAGATTTCTTGTCAAATTCCAATTCTTTAATATAACATCCATTAGTGTACTAGATCTTGCTTTGTTTAGCCAAGTGGTTATAAAAAATCTCCTGTTTTTTTTATTTAACTTTTCCTTATATTTTTTTAGATCGCAAATTAAAATTGGTTCAAATTAATTAATAAACTAGGTTTCGCCTAATAACTGTATGCAGGTGTATTAAAAATGAAAGTTTTGCGTCCGTAGATGGTCCGTCTTTTTAACTTACTTTTGACTTATAATTAAATACATGAATTTCGCCAGAGCGCCCCGTTTTACTGGTCATGTGATGATCGACAACCAATTAACCAATGATAAATCATAAATTGGTGTAACGTAACATGATCAGGAGAATTCAAAACAAACGAATTTGTATAAGAAACCGGTTTTTGTACTCTAATAAAAAAAAGTTCACCTTTCTAACCCTAATGTTAACATTAACTTTGATGCTAATTTGAATAGTAAGTCGTTGTGTTGATCATAGCATGACCCGTAAAACGGGGTCACTCCGGTGGTTTCGCTGCACACCCACCGCCTTGATATAGTTTTATAAATTTTCCAAGCAAGAGTTAAACATATATAAAGGAAATTTTATCCATAAGAGTCTTCAGGTCAGTTTTTTGTTTATTACGTATCTACCAACAGAGTGACACATGCTATGCCCAGGACTGAGGTCTCATAAACAGATTTTCTGCGGTTATCTGAATGGGGAGTATTTGTCATAATGTTGGTTGAGCCCAACTACACCCTGCAACTGCGGTTGAGTGACTTTGTCATAATAGGGTCTGCGGTTCGCCCGAAAGTGGGGAGTATTTTTGGTATGGGATCCTTAGATTAAATTTCTTTGGGTCATATCATATAATACGCAGTTGGGATCATGATTATTTTTTTTCGTAAATATGCACGTATAATATTTCTATTTAATGAAAGCAACACCCACACTCGAAGTTTACACAAGAACTGGCTAGTTCAACCAGAATCAATGATATTGACAAGGTATTATGAGTTATTCTTGACAATTCTTCGATTTTAATATTGACTGTTTTTTATTTTTACCTAGGAAAAGAGCAGAACTAGAAGACTATGGCTAAAGAAATAAGGTGGCTTATTCCGATGATAAAAATCATTTTACTTTAGCAGGACTAGAAGACTATGGCCAAAGAAATGGGATGGTTGATTTTGACGATCAAGATCATTTTACCTCAGCAGGACTAGAAGACTATAGACGAAAAAATGAGATTACCGATGCAAAGAATAAAGTACTTTTTGTTACTATAGATATTATTACTAATAAAAACTTGAATATTCTGCAACCAAATTATTGCATCTTCAGATTATTTCGGATTGACCACACTTGTCTTTTAGTTTCATGTATTTTCTACGTCAGAACTTTTTCAAGAATTATATTTTACTTATGTTTTTTGGATTGTTTACTCATAAACCCTACGTTCCGTGGTGTTTCTGTGCCATATCCTGACAATTTTTTAAATGCAGAAAATCATCATACCTGTAAACCAATTATATTTTCAAGATCAGATGTAAGTAACACGATCAGGAAATTCAAAACAAACGTTCGTTTTGTCAAAAACTGTTTATTTCTCAAAAATTGCATATGAAACTACCTCCAGTGCTCTAACAAAAAAATTTTCTTGAGTGATTTACTATATACTAGCCTAATTTCTAGACATTATGTAAGCCCTATTCCTAACATAAACGAACTTTAAAGAATTTTTTCAGTACACCACACATGATCATGTACTGGTGAAATTTTGGTGGCGATCTAGAGAAGTTGAATACGTAGTAAAAATCCACCCATACAGTCATATGTTTTTATGATTGGTTATTATTACAAGTAACTAGCAATGTTATATTTGCGGGCAACTTCGTCGCCCGCTTGCAGTTTTGAATCAAATTGTTAAAAGCGTGACATATATTCAATTAAAATATTGTTATCAAATTGTTAAAAGCGTGACATATATTCAATCAAAATATTGTTATCAAATTGTTAAAAGCGTGACATATATTCAATCAAAATATTGTTATCAAATTGTTAAAAGCGTGACATATATTCAATCAAAATATTGTTGTGTACTAGAATTGATTAAAAGTATATGTTGTGATTTGGCATTAGTTAATAATTTTTTTGGTCAAGTCAACAAGTTGAGGCGGAGCACAAATACTATTTTATAGGATATAAGTATGATTGATGGTGGTAATCATTCACGTTTTATTTTTATAACTGGTAATTAGAACATGATCATGCAGGCGGTTTCACCGCCAATAATATGCCAAGATAATAGATTTGTTTGTTTTATTCTTACTTTTATTTCGGAAAGAAACTTTTTCTTAAGTTCCGTCTTGAATTTAATGCACCAATTTGGGCCCCTCCGGGGTCAAAGCTGGTGCATTAAATTTAAAGCATTTCTTTCCATCATTAAATGTTCCGCCTTGAATTTAATGCACCAATTTGGCCCCCGTGCCAAAGCTGATGCATTAGATTTAAAGCATTTCCTTTCTGTCATTAAATGCTCCGTCTCGAATATGATGCACCAATTTGGGCCCCTTTGGGGCCAAAGTTGATGCATTAGATTCAAAGCTGGTGCATTAAATTTAAATCTTTCATATGAAACGATCATACTGTGATCCGTACAGCCGTAGGATTACAGTACAGTATGATCTTATCACCTGCCAAATAAAGCAGTTACTGGATGTTGAAAGTATGAAATTCTCTGCCGTGGCGATAGAAAGCCCCTCTAGCTCACCCACAAAATTTTTTCCGGCACGTGATTTTAACCAATTAGATTGAAGGATCAGGTGTAACATGAAAATTACGCCTTTTACAAAAATCACCAATTACTCGAAATTTTGTTTATAAAACTGCTTTATATGTTCTAACAAAAAAAAAATTCCTTGCAAAATTTTGGTATAACCTATGCTAGAGTTGGCACTCAAAACGAAACCTACCCGAAACTAGTTTC